GTCTGCAGTCCAAGAAATGTTAAGGTTCTTTGGGAAGTTCTCAAAGGTTTTGTCAATGAAAAAGATAAATTATGTTGACCAGGCTTCAGTCGGATCGAAACCTATCTAGGGCAACCTTAACTTTTCTAATTTAAACATTTCCTGAAATCCAGTACAAGTGACAGCAGCAGAAAAATATTTGGGTGTGCCCTGTGTTGAACTCTGAGTTTGCACAAGGCAACGATGGACTCATGCAAACAAGATGTGTTGCTCAGACTGATGTGTGTTGGAAGTATGATCCTTCCCCCACAGACCTAATTGATAAATTAAAGATCAGGATAGCACACCAATATTTAAAAAGGGAAAGACCAGGGAAACTACAGGCTGGTTAGCTTAATGTCCGTTTCTGATCTCTAAACTAAAATATACAATGTGTCCCTTAAGTCAGCCACAGTGCCAGGGGACTGGAGGGTAGCACACCAATATTTAAAAAGGAAAAGAGGGGGGACCAGGGAAACTACAGGCTGGTTAGCTTAATGTCCGTTCCAGGGAAGATGGTGGAAAACCTCATCCAAGATAAAATCTTAAAACACCTAGAAGAAGAAGCCTTGCTGAGGGAAAAGCAGCATGGCTTCTGTAAGGGTAAGTCTTGCTTCACAAACCTTTTAGAATTCTTTGTAAAGGTCAACAACAGGCATGTGGATGCAGGATGAACAGTGGATATTGTCTCTCTGGATTTTCAGAAGCTGTTTGATGTGGTCCTTCACCAAAGGCTTTTGAGAAAACTCCACAGTCAGGGGATAAGAGGGCAGGTCTTCTTATGGATTGAGAATTGGCTGAGAACCAGGAAACAGAGAGTAGGTGTCAATGGGCAATTTTCACAATGAAGAGAAATGAAGAGAGGTGTGCCCCAGAGATCTGTCCTGGGACCAGTGCTTTTCAACCTGTTCATAAATGACCTGGAGACAGGGAAAAGCAGTGAGGTGACCAAGTTTGCAGATGACATGAAACTTTACTGGGTGGAGAAGACCAGAAGGAATTGTGAAAAGCTCCAGAAGGATCTCTCCAAACTGGGAGAATGGCAAATACATTTCAAAATAAGAAAATGTAAAGTAATGCACACTGGGGCAAAAAAATCAAAACTTTATTTATCGATGTGGCATCCACCCAGGTCATGAATATTCATATATTTGCATAGACCAATGGAGTTGCTGGAAGGATGGTGTCATGAGATTTAAGAGACTCAGGAGGAGGAGGAGGAGTTTAGATAGGGTTTAGACTCAGAGAGAAGTCAGAGAGATTTTTGGAGTTTGGGCAGGAGAGTGGTGGT